TGCCAGGGCACCTTGCGTCCAGACTGATTCCTTATATTTCACTTAATGGGAAGTGATTGTGAAGTTGGTTCAACTGCATTTTGGTGTAACTAGTACTTCCGTAGTTGCCACTGCATTGTAGCGTGTAGATGACTTTATTATGTAATAGAGATTATGACTGTGCCACATACTCCCAAATAGTTAAAATATAGTTAAAGTACCTGCAATGAATAAGAAATATCCTTTATTTTACTCTGTATTTCACACTATTACAAAAATTAGTATTCTTCTCTGGGTACATATTAGATCTTACTACAGGATAGCAGGTAGTGTGTTTGAGATCAGTTTAATCCACTATGATTGTTTAGGTGTTACAGGTTGCTTTGTTCTATAGTAGAAGACCTTGAAAAAAGTGGCTCGGGAGCTAGCTGTCCTCTGTTCCCAGTCACTTCTTGTGAAACAGTCATGTTCAGCCCATTTAAAGAGTGTTTTCCTTCTTAAAATATATTATTCAGCTAATTGCCTTTTGAATTCCTTTCTGCTGACCAGATCCTCATGTACCAGCCTTTAACTTAAAAGGTCCTGAAGTTAAGCTGCCTCCATCATGTTAAAAACAAGTACAGCATGAATCTGTTTGATCTGGAAGAAATATCCTTCTTGAACATACTCTTGAATTTGGTGCAAAGTGTTTTCCTTCTTAAAATATATTATTCAGCTAATTGCCTTTTGAATTCCTTTCTGCTGACCAGATCCTCATGTACCAGCCTTTAACTTAAAAGGTCCTGAAGTTAAGCTGCCTCCATCATGTTAAAAACAAGTACAGCATGAATCTGTTTGATCTGGAAGAAATATCCTTCTTGAACATACTCTTGAATTTGGTGCAAAGCCTTCAGAGTTGCAAGATGCAAGGCTAATGTGCCACAGAGTAGCCCAATAGCACTCAGAAAGAAACAGGCGTAACACTAGAGGGCCTTTTGAGTTTGTGGTAGTTAATATTGTATTGAGCAGAGAAGTGATGCCTCTAAAAGCTGATGCTATCAAAAGATATGGAACCAATATTGCCATCAGTATTGATGTCGGTCATAGTGTAGTATCTGCAGTGAAGTGTATGTCCAGTAGAGAAGGAAATGAGCATTCAATTTTCCCCTGTAGGAATTTCAGATTATTCTGTTTGCATGTTATCATTGAAACCTCTTGGGAATTTTGACTGTCCTAAGAAAAAGTGTCATCATCACTTTCTTCTTAGTCTGAAATGTTGTTAAATGTTATGAATGGCAGACTTCACTGGCAAAGTATGTCTTTTAGTATTGATAAAACTAACACTTTTCTTAATAATTTGCCTTGAGACATGGAATAGTTCAAAAGCAAGACAGAAAAAAGTAATGAAAAAGCCTAATAGGCATCAGAGGAAGTGTCTGAAACTGTAGGCAGATATACGCCCACTACAGTGATGATGGGAAGCATATCGTGGCTTCAGATGTGGTATATTGTGTGAAAAGTATAAGCTGTGGTCATGGAATGCTTTAAAAAACTTGCAGCTCTTCAGCAAAAATATTGAAGATGCCCTGGGCTCTCTGAAGAAGTTAGAGTGGCTGTATGCTCCCTATAGAATTTCATATCATTAAGCTACTGGCAGCATGCAGTATCTGATTTTAGCGCCTGCTAAGCATGACATCTTATTGCAGGCAGTGAAAATACCATGCCAAGTAGTGGCAGTGGGAATGCTGTAATCCTTCTTAAACACACTGGGGACAGTCTGATATTCTTAATGGTTATTCTTAATGGTTATTCTATAAACATTCTGGTATTCTTCAGGATTTCCATTGAGCATGGTTGAATGTTGGACCCGAAAAAATAGGTGCCCTTCTGGTTGTGCCATCCAGCTTTTTTTTCTGCCTGGGCTTTCTACTGTTCTTCCCCATCAGGGATTATTCTAACAGTATTACAAACAGGAGGAGTTTCATTGCTCGGCTGGATTCTAGGAATAGAAAATTCTTCCTCCTTTGACTCAGAACTTCCATCTTTTCTGAAGTTAGGTAGCCACATCACTGCAGAACTCCTTCATATAACAAAGGAGTCTTTGCCACATTTTTCTGAGGGAGTGTATTTGTTCAGAATCAGGAAATCTGAAATCAAAAGCAGGATCGTGACCAATTTTGAACCTGAGGAAATTCAGAATGATAGTACTGCTGCCAATTCTCTTATCAAACATTAGACTTCTGCTTGACAGTCAACTTTCAGGATGCGTGTTTCTCTTTTCAAATGGCCTTACTTGCAACAAAATCCCTAAAGATCACTTGGACCTCTCTAAATGTAGGGCGCTCTTGGGAGCTTTCACCAAATCCTTGATATTAGCTGAGGCTTATCTCAGAATACAAAGAGTAATTACACACCCATATTTTTTGAGATAAAATCATAAAGACTAAACCATAAAAAATTCCATATTTAACCCTCTAAAACCAACAGAATTAGGACAATATTAAACTCTACATCAGCCAAAGCTTTTATTTTTTCTTTCTGGTGGGCTTGACTTAATAATTGTGGTTTTCAGTCAACTTTAGAAAGAACTGTACAAACATGTCCCATGTCTCTTGTGAAAGACTGGGTAGAGTTAATGTGATCATGACTCCTGGGCGTTTGTTTTCCAGTGAGGTGCAGAAGCTCCAGTTGAGTGTGCAAAGTGATAACATCTTCCACATAAAACTGTGGTAGTTGTGCATCTAGAGAAATTCCAGAAAAAAGATTTGTGGACACATAAGTACTTGATTATATGTAAGCGTTCTAATTAGGGACAATTCATGCAGTGTATCTTTATGTTTGTATTAGATTTAAGACCTAATAAAACGATTCTGCTGACATCAGCTTAAGTTAGAAAGGATCATGAGATTTTTCTGAAATAAAATTGCCTGATTGCTCTTCCGTTTTGCAGAGTTATGTCAGTTTTGGCTCAGGTAAATGGAGGACCACCCTCCATCTTGCTGGTTCTTACACATGTAGAGCTCAGTGTATGTTTTCTCCATTCTTCATCTGTGAGGTCTGTAACACCTTGGTTTTGGGTTGTGGGCGATAGGAAAGGCTCTTTACCAGTCATAAGCACTTTTGTCTACAGGTATCGCTGGTGCAAAATTCTGATCTTGATTAGTTGAAACTGGCTTAAATGTCCATATGTACTTTTCCAAGGTTATAAACTCAACACAAGTAAGCATTTTCATGATGAGAAATACTGCCATAGTGCATTGAATTCATTATGTGATCGATGGGGTACTGTTTTTCCATTTTTAAAACCATACGCAAAACTCATTGTGGTAATTGCTTATTCATAGATAGAGACTTCAGAGTAAGTCTTTCAGGATGTTGTGCTTGTAGTATAATATGTAGGCAAGCAGGTGTTTTAAAATCTAATATGGAGTACTGTGTATATGTTTCTTCGTTTCAGTGGAAGTTACTGAACTTTCTCATTAGATTTTCCATAAAAGTGTTGCGCTGAATAAATTCTTCCTTTGGATGCAAAGAATATGTCAGATATGGAGTCAATCTGCGACTATCTTTTTCAAGAATCTAGACTTGCCATCTCTAATTAGATGCTCTATGGCAGAATTGATTCTGTAATCTAGATTTGCATTAAAAACTGACTCCTAGAATTGCTCAGATAGCTTGTAATGTTCACAGTTAGTTTGTATCATGTCATTTTTCTGAGTTTGCAGATGTGAAAATTTTGTGCATCTGCAGCTGAAGACTTTTAGAGCACAGAAGCTTTTATAATTACAGGCTTAGAAAATTCTCAGCAGATTCTGCTAGCAAGGAGATTACATATTCTCAGATGGCTATAAAATGCCAGATAAAAAAATCTAGATGATGGGGCAATAGTAGCATGAAATTGATAGGATTTTAGACAGTCAACAACATTCCCACAAGAAGCAACGCTACGATCTTGCGCTCTGTTGTAATGGGAGGGTCAAATGAATTCTAGCACCATCAGCGTAATTTGCCTTAAATGTTGTTAAGATCTGGATGAAGTAGCTGCATTGCTGTACATGTGCTCTTTTCCTGTATGTTCTTACTCTCTCAGTAGGCTGAATTTTATTTGAATGTTCATCTTAAATAGTACTTTTGTCAAGGAAATACTAAACTTAGGAATGTCAAAGCCAAAGACATCTCCTTATAAATATAGCAGTAATTGGTGCTGGGAAGTGCTGGAGAATTCTATAGCTCCTGAATAGAGCAAGTGATCACTGTGAATAGCATGAACTAATCATCTTACAGCTTTACCTTTCATCAAAAAAGCAGTTCATAGGGTGGAATAAAATCAAACCCAAGCATGAACACATGGTTAAGATTAAATATTAACAGTACGTAACATATAACTGAAAACTTTACAGGCTTTATTTTGCAAGTTGCCTAGTTAAGCTTTCCAAATTAATGTTGCTACTGAAGAAAAATTATGCCTATGCTCGGTTACTTTGCTGTTGCTGCTTGAGCTCTGTTCTATGCTGAAATTGAAATATGCTTTGAAAATGAGAACCGTATCTTTATTAACTCATCTTCAGTTTTCTACTGAACCTACCAATATAGGTATCTCCAATAGCGCTACAAAATTAATGGTACCATACATAGAGTGCTTTTGTGATCACTAGAGCATCCCCCAAATGGTTCAAACTATATAGGCTAATTTGGTAGTTGGGACTTTGAATTCTGAAATGTGCAAAGACTTAGGATTGTTTGATGATTCCTTTAAAGCTTATCTCAGAGGAGGAGACAGTTTAAACTACTGACCTGACAGAAAAAGGCAAGGAGAACAGCAGAGCATCACTTTTCCTCCTAGAATGTCAGCTAAAATAAGAAAAGTCAACGCTTACTGGTGTTAGTCAGCCAGGTCCTTAAGAGCTCTTCTCCGCTGAATGTTGCAAGTGTGTGTCTTCTTCACAACATGGACTGAGAACTTGAATATTCATCTCAGTCTTTCAAGCTAAGTTCTTAATTAGGCATGTGCTTCACATAATTTTGTTCTTCATTCTTCTCAGGTCTGTCTCAAATTGACTTGCCTCAAAGGGATGAGGGAGGATGAGAGGGAATCTTGGGAGATGGGTGAGCGGTTCCCATACCTCAAGATCAGGTGGGTGTGAGGGTTGAGGGTGGGAGAAAAAGGATCCTTTCCTTCAGTCTGGTCCTGTCACATAGTACTGCATCCTTTTTAGTCACTGTAACCAGCAGCGTACTCCAGTTGCTGTGTCTCCTTGGCTAATGTCTAGCCAGTCAGAAAGAGGGTTGGATAAAATATCTCTATCACCTATTCTTGCTGCTGTTGGAGATGGAAGAACTGTGGAAGGCAGTGACACTCAAGCCTGAGAAGTGCAACCCCTACCCAACACTGACTGTTCTTGTCTCCATTCTGATTCCTCCCACAGTTGCAGCCCCTAAATCTCCAGGATGCAGGCATAGGCAAGGGCGGCACTTCTGTTATTTCCCAGAGCTGTTTTATACCCCTGTGAAACCTATAGGTAGCTGTAGATACCATAAGAGTACTGCTGTAGAAATACAATACCACTGTGCTGCCTTTCAAACACAGTTTGAAAAGTACAAAGGTAGTAAGAAGGTTGTGTGACTATGGTTTGCAATACTGGCTGTTTGTTAGCGGCTTTTCTCCATTCTGGACAAAAGGGAAACAGGTTCAGGCTTGTCCCTAAAGGAGTAGAGTGCTATGAACAGGGTAAGCGGTGTCAGAGCATAATACTGGCGTCAGACGATTGCTAGACCATACTGTTGTCTGGTGCACTGCCCATTGCTGCTGCTTTGTCAACGCCTGAAGCTGGCTTTCATATGCAGCATAACTCATCAAACGTCTCCTTACCTATGCATATGTTTATATTTACATTTTAATTTATTTTTGGTTACAGGTTACCTCGTGGGAGGAGAAGTGAGCACTTTTTTTTTTTTTTAAGTCAAAGTGAGGTGCTGTAGTTAAGCTTCTAAACACTTTTTTTAGGTTTCTGTGGTCAGAAGGTCATTTCTTGTTCTCACCTATAGGTCTTCTCACAGTGAAAAATTAAGGTACCTATAGTATTGCTAATAATTTCTGCTGTAAAGACATGCCCAGCTGTATCTGCATGCTTTTCACTTGTGGCAAAAGAATCAATCGCTTTTTGAAAGAAGGGGTTAATAGATTTATTTATCCAAAAGTATATTAGGAGGGAAGATGAAATTCTTACCTCTTTAAGTGGTAGAAATAGAATGCTATTATGTTGCATTTCAATTTTGTGCGGTAATTTAGTCTTATTAAAGACTTAATGGGATACTGCCAAAGCACAAGACAGTTGTTCGCATCCTTCTCAAGTCAGTTATGAAGCTTTACTAGCTTGAAACATGAGGAGAATGTCAATATGTGTTCTTGCCTATTTCATTTGTTTAATTAATCTTTTAATGCTCTAAAAGTAAACATTACTTACACTTTGTAGCCTCTGTGAGTTTGAGTCACGATTTTAAAATTTGAAAGTAATCCATGTTAGTAAATATTTTTCTTGTTTCCTTTTTAAAGTTCTAGGATAACAACATTGACTGGGTTTTTAGTGCATTTTAAGTCTGGTCCATAGCTGGCTGGGTTGTATGCGTCCTGTGGAACACGGAACTCCTGGTTTGTCTCATACCGTACTGCAGGCACTTGGCACTAAACAAATTAACAATAGACCTTGCTATACTAAGATAAGAGGCTAATTTTACAGGTACAGCATTTCATAAATCATATTATAGTTGACAGTTCAGAACTGGAGAATTAATTAATATTTAGAAATCTAGTCAAATGGGAATAGTTGCAGGCTTATTAGAAACAAATGTCACATTGCTGTTTGATACAAAGATTTCTAGGTCAGAATGGCTGATGTTTGTGTGCATTTTCTTATATAAACATGACTAATTACTTTTGAAAGTCCACAGTTTTATCAGTTAATGTATCCTGTATAACTGCTTATTTACCGCGTAAGACAGTGTTCCTGAAAATACTGCACTCTATTTTTTTTATTTATTCATTTTTAATGTTGCTTGACTGATGCTGTGATAGTTCAGTGAGTGGAAACATGCAAGTTTGCTGACATCTGGACTTGAATTGCAATTCTTTTTGTTCTTTCACTGTGTAGATGAAGAAATCTGCTCATGACCTTTGTGTGGTTGTACTTCAGATATTAGACTTGTACTGATTAAACAAGTAGGAACTTGATAGGTCTTACTGTCTTGAGTGACATTAGCTTTATTCTGTTGAAATGAATTGGTTCAAAGTAAACCTGTGATGTTTGGGGAATCCTAGATATGTGAAAGAATTTGATGTAGTTTTAAAATTTTTGTTAGAAGTGACGCATGTAACTGATATAAGTGGATACTTTCATAAAATAGACAAAGTGAAAAATACCTATAAGCTTTTCTAGTCTTGAATACTAACTGTCTTTGGAAGTCTTCTGTGGTGGTTTGCTCATCTAACCTGTTGTCTGTTACGTTATTCCATTTAGTCATCTGAACTTCTACTTAACTAATTAATACAATTTTTAATACTTCTTTAACTAATGATTTTCACATTTTTATCTAAGTTCCAATTAGAATATCTATTAGAGGAGGGTTGGGTTTATGGATGTTGTTTGTTTTAGAAGTGGTGTTCACCCAGGCTTTTCTAAGCCTAAACTTTCTTTACAGCATCAATACCTGTAGCCTTGTTAGTTTGGCTTTTGAACGATCGTGAAAGAATTGCAGTTTGGGGTAACATGCACTGCGGTTCTCACAGCAGTCTGATACCTAATTTGAAGAATTAATGGACTTTGTAATAGTTGAAAGGTTTTGCTATCTGAAGTTTGAGAAGTTGGAAAAATTATGTGCCAGAAAAGTGGAAGATTAATGCCTTGATGGCAATCTATCAATGTTTTTTTAATGGTATATGGGCAATGTGGAAGACTGAACTGAAGGTGTGCATGGGAGGGCTTTTGTTCTACAAGGAATTTTCTGCAGCAGAAAATGTACAAACTTTGAAGATGAAACTTCATCTATGTAGATTCTACGTTGTGTAGATTCTTACTGATTGAAAGAAGGGAACATGTCAAGGCCATTAGATTGATAGTGTGAACAAATAGGCTGGTTCCTTTTGTTGCATATTATTACATTGCGCCACCTCTCAATGTTACATGAAATAGAGCAGCAGCAGATACACTAGGTAGCTATCCTGTCTCAGAATGGGAGTCTTGCATTGATTCTTCTATATCTTAATTCTGCTTAAGTGGTATTCTGGATGTGGTAAATAGTTGATAAACTACATTTGAAAACTAGCTTTAAAAGGAATGCAGTGTTTGTCAGAGTGATAGAAAACTTTTTAATGTGTACCAAAAAAACCCCTCCAAAACTGTAACATTTCACCTGTGTATATACACAGGCTGTAGAAATGAAGAAAATATAGTGGTTAGTAACTGAGAGCTTAGTAATTTACTTTAAAACTCTATGGATTTAGAGAGGACCATTGTACTTATATACTAAACGAGATGCTAAAGTTTAATTACTTTTTAGGTCTTAGAAAACAGATGACTTAAGGTATACTTAAAACTTAGGTTCTTGATTTTTATCTCCCCCTGCCCCCCTTCTTTTTCTCTGTTTCTTTCTAGGTTTAACTATAGATCAACACATCATCTTGCATCCCATGGGTTTTATGAATTTTTAAATTGGTTTGATGAAAGAGCATGGTATCCACTGGGAAGAATAGTAGGTGGAACTGTAAGTATTGTAATAATAACTTAAAGATTACTTTGCAGTAACGTTTTTTTGAACTTTCAATACAAATTCGACATTGATAAGAGGAGAGTCTTAATAAAATACGCTTTTAATTGTCAAATTGCTGCAGAGGAAATAGCAAGATGTTTTTAATTTTCAGCTGCAGGAACTAAGACAGTAAGTCAACATGCTTTAGTCTGTCCCACAGCATACTGTGGCCAAGAAATAGAGAACTGAGTTCTACTTCCTTACATATGAACTTCTAATAGTGATAAGTAAGGGTATTATGACTCCTGTAATTCTGGTACATGAAATGAAAAAAGCAAAAAAAAAAAAGTTTTTTTGAAAAACAATTATCTAAAGCTCTTAAGGCACAAGTTTTAATCCAATGATATATTTTGAGTGGACTTTCATGTGTGTATGGAAAATGTTAAGATTTCACTGAGAAAAGACCTTTTGAAACTAAACCAGTGCGACACCTGTATGAAGCATCAGGAGTAGGTAAGATTGCTGTCGATGCAAGTTACAAGACAGGAAAGGTGTACGAAACTGCTATCAAATCAGAATACAAATATCGTTCATTAGTAGAATAGCTTTAGTAACACTAAGTAACACAGCCATGTGTTATGTAATGTGTGAAAGTGCGTTAAAACTTTTTAATTATAGTACATACAAATTTAAATGCATTTCCGAAGTTTTTTGTGACAATTAGGTCACCATTTGTTTTAGTATCTTAGAGATACTTGAGATTCTTTTTATGTAACATATATATGTGTTTTTTCCATACCTGTCTTATATGAATTAAAAACCCGCAGGACATAGAATTGAAGTGTGATTGCATACATTATTTTGCAAGTCACATGGTATATTATGTTTTAATAGTTTATCTTGAAAACCAGCTCTCAAGGATATATGCAGGGGAACATTCTGTCGTCTGTTAATTTAATTTAGTACAACGCCCTTCTTAGCTTTTGAAAGAAACTAAGGCAGGTGAAGTCCATATTAACTTTTCTAGTACATATTGATCTTTCTAATGTTGATAAATGTGGGAGGGTAAAATTCCTATTAAGATTATTTTAATGTTCTCCAGTATTCTATGATGGGTTCAATTAGATTTGTGTAAGTCTATGTTACCTGTCCTGGAGGACATCTTAATTCAATTTTATAGGACTTTATTTTAATCCTTCATATCCAAAGATGTCTACAGATGTCTTGTAAATATATAATACTCAACTGACTGTCAGCTTTTCAGCTTAAAAAATAAATCTTGTTGGTGCACATTTTCTTTCTCCATGGGTAACAAGAAGTGAAAGAGTGGCATGGTATATTTTGGAGGAGAATGGGATAGGGCTGGGAAATGTTGTTGGGTTTCTTCTTGTTGCCGTAAGGTTTTGACGTTTGTTTTTTTTCTTAAAGCTGTTAGCTGGCTTGAAATTCTCTTGAAAACTTCAGCTTCTGTTTCCATACCTTAACGACAAATTCTTCTCATTATATGATAAATGTCAGGCAAGATAGCATATTATCTGTATGCTGCTTATTCATTTACAAAATGGATTATATGTAATTGTTAGCATTTGGATAAAATTTAAAGAACCTCTGGTATTCAGCGGTGTTGTCAAAACATGATTAAACTAGTATTAAAATAATTTCATTAGCTTTACCTGCTCACTGCTTATATCAGCTTAAGAAATTACTGTTTCATTGCAAATTATATGCAAATAACCTTACCATGACAGTTTTCTGCAGCAACCTAGTGTTTGGTTTTTTTTTTGTTTCTCTCCTTTTAGGTATACCCAGGACTGATGGTGACAGCAGGCCTTATACATTGGATTTTAAATATGCTTAACGTGACAGTCCATATAAGAGATGTATGTGTGTTCCTAGCACCAGTTTTTAGCGGCCTTACAGCTATTTCCACTTTCCTGCTCACCAGAGAACTGTGGAACCAGGGAGCAGGGCTTTTAGCTGCCTGTTTTATTGCCATCGTTCCAGGTTACATATCCCGATCAGTAGCAGGATCATTTGACAATGAAGGCATAGCTATTTTTGCACTGCAGTTCACATACTATTTATGGGTAAGTAATTGCTGAGTCTTTTGCTTTGGAAAGGTTTTTTGGTTCCTCCTCCAACCAAATGACTGATTTTTCTTAGAATCCATTGAATTCTTATTTTCCTCCCTCTCATTCCTCTTCCCCTTGGCTCTTGATCAAGCAAGTACTGAGAAGTCACATGACCTGAACCACTCCATAATCATGCCCTTTAGTTTGCTATGTAAAAGTACTGTTCAACTGAAGTATGTGTCCTATAGTAGTGATAATAATAATAATGATAAGTCTATAAATTTAAAGCAAACAGAAGGGTTCTTTGTGTTTTTCAGTAATTATTAGTATTATGTGAGCATCAAACTTCAGCCTTGTTATTTAGCTGCTGAAAAGCAGTAGACTCTGAATATAAAGTGATTTGAATTGTCTTCTGGAGAAGCTGTTGACTATATGGGGGGTCTGGGCTTTGACTTAAGTGTCCAGATTAAATACCCATAGCTGTCCAGAGCAAGATATTAATATTGCTTGCGTGCTTGAAAAAAAATTAGTCTGATGTCTTTTAATTAGCCTACTTGCTAGTGCAGCTTGTCTGTCACTCCCTAATCTGTATGTAGAATTGCATCTAGAATTGCATCAGTTTTTCTAGACTGTTGCATCTATTTTAGAAATATCACAAATAGCATAACTATATTGTTAATTCAGCATAGACACTGTATGGTACTGTCCTTTGTGCATTCCTTGAATGCATATACTTTTCATTTTGAGTGTCTCCATGTACATGGAGACATGGTCATTACAACTTTTCCCATGATTTTGTCAAGAGTTCTACTTTTCATAAGCAGATGCATACTCACAAGTTTTTTAGCTTTAGAATATTTCGAACTTGGGGTATTGTTGGTAGGAGTATAATGGAAGGGAATTCAAGTTTTTCATGACTGACTGGTGTTACTTAAATGCAGGTTTTTAAAACCTGGACTTAGAATAAACTGCAGCTGTAAAGGTGTACCGTGTTTGATAACAATAATAGAATCAACCTACATTGTTACTTTATAACAACTGAGACACGATAGCAGTTACCTGTTCTTATGGAACTCATATTTCACTAAACTGCGTAGTGCGATAATGTTTGCATGAATTCTTGTGGAATTACGGGTGAATCAAATATATTTTATAGATAACTTTCTAGCTTTATTTAATGTTGGGTTTTCGTTCCTATTTTCCCACACCACAATCATCACCATCACTTTTGGACAAAATCATACTCCTGGGCCAGTTTATGGATCCTGCTAAACCTTTAGTAGTATCTGGATGTTCTCATTAGCCTTAAGTGAGTTTTTCAAAATTACAGAATAGCTCTTTTATCTATAATTGCAGAGTTGGGTCTGATGCCAGCCAAAGCAAGCCATGGATAGTCTACACTTAGAATTATAAAGTGGTCTAATGTCTCAGAGAGAGTAGCATAGAGGTGTTGCAACTACTTTTCTACCTCAGATCATGAAGCAGAGAGTTGCATTGCATCCTGCCTCTGCTTTAACTAGAGAGATAGGTATAAGCTGTTTTGTGTGTGAATGAATTGCACTTGTGGTTTACTGTTATGGACATCAGTTCAGAAGCATACAAATATAACTTGATATGTGCTAAAGAAGTTCTCTTGACAGTTGTTTTGGAATGAAATTTTGGAATATTGTCCAGTACTTGTTTGTCATTCATAAATACTTGGCTATTCTTAAAGGTGAAGTCTGTGAAAACTGGGTCAGTCTTTTGGACAATCTGCTGCTGTCTATCCTACTTTTACATGGTAAGGCTTTTATATATATAATAGCTGAACTATTTGAGTAGGGCTTACATAATCCATATGTTGACGAACAACAGAAGAAGGAGATTTTAATCTTTGTTGGAGCCATAATATATGCTTGTTGCTTTGTATTACTATTAAAACCTTAAATATATGAGTAAAAACGCATAATAAATGTTTTGAAATTTAAAGTATTTAAATAAACACAATGAAAACAATTTTTAGAAAAACTCTTAAGCAGAATAACTTTACTTACAAATTTATCCTATGCTGTGAATAGGTACTCTGATTCAGTGGGATTTTTGTTTTGGTGCTGGTGAATTAAGGTGGAATTTTGATATTCATGTGTCTGTGTGTCATTATTACTAAAATGCAATAATAATATTTAAAATTTATGAACAAAGTTACACTTATATAACTTTGAAAGCTATTTCTTTGGGTATAATTATGCCATAAAGTAAAGCTTACCACCAGAAGTGTTGAATGAATTAAGTGTCAGATTAAACGATCATAAAGTCTGCTTTTCATTATTGATCTGTGAAAATGGAGGCTATTGTAGAGATGTTCCTAAGGGCTAACAGAGGGGGAAAACAGTATTAAAACTGAGATAAAACTAATAGCAAAATAGAAGGAAATGGTTTCACCCTTCTTCCATCTTCTGAAACCTTAGACTTGAGGAATTTTCTGGTATGAATCAGTCAAAGGTGCTTTTTCCCCCTAACTGATAAACATTTTTTTTGTGGCTACATGAAAAATAAATTAGCCTCAAAATAGCCAGTGGTGGGACAGTCAGGCTAATTGCTTGGTGTCGGTTAAGACTGAGGTTTCAAATACTGCTTTTCTACAGTCAGGTAACTAGGCTTGCAAGAAAAAGGAACTTATGAACTGTTTTCAGCCTTAATTTAAAGTATAAGGTTAATTCAGAGGTTATCTGGATGCTGCCTAGTTTTCCTCTAGCTTTAATATTCATTGGGTTTTCTGGGAGACTTTTGCTGTTAATACAGCAAATTATAGCTCTGTGTATGTCGCCAAAGAGGACAGTTATCTCATGTTAAGAGTACATTTATTTCCTCCCCCGTTTCTCCTCCTTTTTGCCAAGTCATTAAATAAATAGCCACTTCTTTATACATAGCATTGCTGTTTATATAGCATTACAGTGAAGAGATCCTGTAGGTTTGGTAGATTTATGTGCAGTACAAAATCGGGCAAGTAAGTTTTTGAATTGTTATATTTATGTACCATAATCTTTTTTTTATATTGTGCCAGTTTATTGGCAAGATCCTCTAAAAGTGCTGTTCATAACTATGCAGATAACAAACACAATAGTTCTACAATTTTACTGCTGAAAAATCATGCAATAACAAGTTCTTCCCATCTTAGTCTGTCTAGCGTCTTGGTCGGTGGGATTGTACAAGAGGGAGGGGATATGATCTAGAGTGTGCGTGGTGACAGAACATACGGAATCGATGTCATCATCATGACATTCAATCCTTGAATGTAAATTAATGTTTTTTCTTTTATTTTCCTTTCAAGTGCTGTCAACTAGTGAAAGGTTAAGATTTGTCCATAGGTTAGTCTCAGTGATTAGATGATAGAATTTTATTGCTTTCAGAGTGTACCTACTTCATCCCTGGTGGTGGTTTTCCATATATTGTATTTCCCTTTGGGAAAGAGCTTTGTTAAGATCCCCTGCTAGACATTTTGCTTAGGTAAACTTTTAGGACCATGCGTAATTGTACTATTCGTGATATAGTATTCATTTGTCTTTCTCTCATAGAATTAGTTATGTTTTCAGTGTAAGTTGAAAATTAAATCAAATCACAATTTTGAGGTAGTAAGAGTCAGTCCTTGTCTGGGGAGTTTGGGGAACAGCTATTTGAAAGAGAAATGGATATTGCATGGACTGACAGAAATGTTTCTTGATATCTAAATCTGCTTAAAATATATACCTAACTCACTGTGATAATTTGACTCATAGCATTGCATTGCATTCCGTAAGGAGAAGGGTTTTTTCTTGCATTTATATTTTTAGCATTTATTTGACTTCAGCAACTTTTGCTTCGGATAGCTTTTTATGACAAGGAGGTAAAATAAAACAAAGCTTTACGCTGAAGGAATCCTTGTAGGAGTAATAACATGTTTCCACTCTTTTTGTCAATCTATGAGGATACCTCAGGTTTGTTTGAAAAGTTCCAAAGGGCATCTTCAGTCAGTACAATCTTCAGTGCTTAGATTTGGTTTAATATTTTGATAATTAGAGATGCAGGTCTCTGGTGCAAACTGTCTGCTACCTGCTTCATTCAAACCTTTCCCTAAATATGACAGTGCCCTAATTGTACATTTGTTCTCATTCTATTCTGTCTTACCTGTCTTCATATAATATTTGCTCTCAATAAATAAACTTGCCTGTGTAAACCATGATACTTCATGCTAGTAATTTGGCAATAGGATCATGATAATCTGAAACGAGTTTCTAGAAAATTTAGAAGACTTCTGTTCTACTTGTTCCACATTGTTTGAATTGGTTACTGCAAATTTTGAAACGCTGGGTTTTGTAATATTAGTATCAAAAAACAGTACTTGGCCTCATCCTTATTTTGGAATCTGTTCTATAGAACATAGTCATTTGGGTTTCTTTTTGGATTCTAGGGCTCTAAAAATATCTACATGAATCTAAGCCCTAAAGTACAATTAAAGTGAAAACCACATTAGCTAGTGCATTCTAAAAATGAAGATCTAGCGTAAGCATGGTACATATGGGAGAAGTCTAGACTGTAATTTGACAAGAGGACATGTGTGATAATACAGATTGTCTAGTCAACATTAGCCCTTTTAAATATGTTAGAAATTTAGATAACGCATTGTAATGATAGCTCATTAAATCTTTATCTAAACCAGCAATCAGTGATATATTGATTACATTGTAGTGTTTCAGTTCTAAGTACATCATACCAGTGCTTCTCAAGTGCTGCTGTTACCACAGGTTTGCAATATCCATGATAGTGTTGTACACCATTCCACAATGCTCAGCCCTGCTTCCCTGTGCATCCACCCCCTTCCTTTTGTTTCTTTCCTTACACTGCAACCTGCATTGGCTGCTCTGCTCCAGGAGTTCTGCTCCTGGAGGTGTACCTTGCTCCCTTTCTCCTCTCTGGCTGGAGATACTGTTCCCTGTCCCCAAAAAGTGCAGAGTATGGTGGTAAATTTTTATGTCAAAGGAAAATTTTGGATCCTACATGGGACTCCTACCACTGCCTTGTGCTGCAGCCTTCACGATGGGGAAAAGCCCCCAGCATCACATTCTTGTTTGCCATCGTGACTAGATTAGCCGGGGAGGAGGAGGAGATACAGGAAGGATAGCCTTGAAAATCCACCAGCCCATTTCAAAAGTCTTTAATACTTTGATATGTGGTGGTTTTGTGGGTTTTTTTTCTTTTTTGATAATAAATACTGAGAAAGATTCTGGTGGTATTGCTAGTAGTTTGGACTCTTGTCCGGATGGGGTTTGTGTTTTCTTGTTAGAACATCAAGATGTATAAATTCAGCATTGGCTATCCTAAGAATTTGCAGATATTTTCAGATCTAATTTCCCATTCCATTCCTCGTAGGTCTCTGCGTGGGGTGGTTATGTTTTCATCATCAACCTTATTCCGCTGCATGTGTTTGTTCTGTTGCTGATGCAGAGATACAGCAGGAGGGTCTACATAGGTAAGTTTTGTTCATTGAGCAGTCATTCTCCAATGCTGAATCATGAGATATGAAATTAATTATACTGATGTGTTTTGTATCAAGTGGGAATTAAGTAATTGCATATCAGGTTGCATTTTATTAATTTGTTTACTGATTATAGTCAGTTATTTTCTACAACATGGAAATAAGGAGTTAAAATATACTCGCACTTCCAAAATTTCATATATGTAGCTGCTAATTAATTTTTTCCTTTCTAGTGCACTGAAAAAAAAAATTGTATGGTTAGATATTTGTAGAATGCTTTTAATATTTTTTTTAT